GGGGGCTGGCACACTGGAAGCCCTGGACCTTGGGGACACTGAGGCACAGGGCCACAGGGCGCCAAGAAGATTCTGAAGGAATTACCTGAAGGGAGCCGGGGGCTGGGCTTCCCGCCATGGGGTCCAAGGTCGGGAGGGCAGAAGTGCCTGGCTGAGTGCAGGTTGGCAGGGAGCCTTGGGGAGCACCAGGAGTGTTGGGGGCCGTGCGTGGACAGCGCAGAGGGACACTGCTGCTGACCCCCGATGTGCCGGAAAGTCCTGTGGGGCTCAGGGCTGCCACAGAGGGCAGTGGGCATTGCTTTCAGTGCCACATTTGCTGCACAGCTCACTGAACCCACAGTTCAAGGGCACAGAACCTCCAGCCCTTGAGGGGCTCCTGGGCTGTCCAGGTCTCTGGAGGGCCAGGCACAGTGGGCCTGGCCTGGCGCGGTGGTCTTGACCCATCTGTGGGGATTGGCACGCTGCTCGTGAAGCGCCTCCAGGGGAGAGCAGTGGCGGCCGAGGAGCACAGAGCCCTTGCACCTGGGGCCACGCGCTCTCTTAGCTGCGCAGTTGCAGGGCCCAGAATCCTGTGAAGTTGGTGTATGCGGGCGTCTGAGCCCTGAGGAATGGGCATCGGCTCTGTGTGCTAGACCTGCACTAGACTGACGGTGAGGGCAGGCTGAACAATGACTGGCTGGGTTCTTTGTCCTGTGAGGCAGCTGGGGAGTAAGTCATCTTATGCATCTGTGCATTGCAGGTCCCTGGGGAGGGGATTTCTGTGACCAGGAGCACAGACCCACGGAGGGGCTCCGTGACCACCAAGAGAGGTGTCAGAACCATTCAGCAAGGCCCCGCCCAGGTGCCCGGGCCTGCGAGAGGCATTGCAAGCTTCGATTCTGACTCATGGCAGCCTGTGAGTGCGGGCACAGCTGAGCCGCAGGGTCTCCAGGCGGGGACCTTCACAAGTACCCTGCCCGTGTTGCTTCCACGGCGCTGCTGAAAGGGCTGGAACCACCACCTTTCAGGATGCAGTCAAGCACAGACTGTCGGCAGGCACCGCCTCGGAACCAAAAACTATCCAAACCCACTGCCCTGGAGTTGACTCTGACTCATAATGACCCTGTAGGACAGAGTGGAGGAGCTCTGGTAGCATAGTGGCTAGTGGCTAAAGCACTTGACTGCTCACCAGAAGGCTGGCGGTTCAAACCCACCAGCCACTCCTTGGAAGGAAGGTTGGGCAATCCTACTTCCGTAGTGATACTGCCTCGGAAACCCAAGGAGGGGTCGCCATGAGTTGGGGCCGACTTGACGGCACATAACAACAACAACAATAGGACAGAGTGGAACTGCCCCCAGAGGGTTGCCAAGGCTGCCAGTCCTTACAGAACCAAAGCCCAGATCAAACCCAGTGAGGTCAAGTGGGTTCCGACTCACAGAGCCCCTAGAGGGCTGAGTGGAACTGCCCACAGGATTTCCAAGGGTGTCAACCTTCACAGAAGCTGACTGCCTCAGCTTTCTTCCTCGGAGTGGCTGGTGGGTTGCACCACCGACCTTTCCATTTGTAGCTGAGCACTTTAATCCTGATCCAGGGACCAGTCCCCCTCATATTCAACTGCTTCTCTCGGGTTCTGCCCCCACTGTTCTGCCCGGAGGGCTGGCTTTTCCTGTCCTTGCCCCTCTGGTCCTGTAAAAATATAAACCACCGTGCTGCCGTCAGGTCCGGAATGTCCAGT